CTAATACAATAATCTCTACATTCTGAAAGCATTCTTTTTCTGCTGTTCTTTCATTTCTAGTACAGAAATAGGATCAAACTTGGAGGTGTATCTGTATATGTATATTTACGCTGCTTTAGGCATACTGTATTCAGTTAATAAACGCAGGCACAGAAAAGCCTTTCTAAGTACGCTGTTAATTGTAGTTTATTTAATTTTTAGGTCTCTTGGCTGCTTTTTCTACCAACAGATATAAGACGTGGAAATAAATAAGCATTTGTTGGCTTGTTTTTAGGTTGTTTTTTGTTTGTTTGTTTGTTTACAGTCTATTCTGCTGTAATTAGAATGGGGATTAAAGGCAAAGCAGAAAAAGTTTACCCTCAGCGAGTGATCTGATGATACCAATATGAGCTGTGCAGTTGACCCAAGAGAAGGAAGAGGTGTCATCCAGAGAGTCCTGGACGGGCTTGAAAAGTGGGCCCATGAGAATCTAATGAGATTCAACACGGCCAAGTGCAAGGCGTTGCACGTGAGCTCAGGCGATCCCAGGCAGACTGGGAGAAGAACTTGGGGGTCCTGGTGCATGAAAAGCTGGACTTGAGCCAGCAGTGAGCACTTTAAGCCTGGAAGGCCAACTATATCCTGGGCTGCATCAAAAGAGGGGTGGCCAGCAGAGTGAGGGAGGTAATTTTGCCCCTCTACTCTGCCCCCGTGAGGCTTCAGCTGGAGTACTGTGTCCAGGTCTGGGTCTCCCAGTACAGGAAGGATGTGGAGCTGTTGCAGCACATCCAGAGTAGGACCATGAAGATGATCAGAGGGCTAGAGCACCTCTCTTATGAAGAACGGCTGAAGGTGCTGGGCTTGTTTGGCTTAGAGAAGAGAAGGCTCCAGGGGAATCTCGATGCAGCCTTCTGGTCCTTAGAAAGAGTGCTTATAAACAAGGTAAAGATTGAGTTTTTGCCTCGGCAGAAGCTGATAGGGCAAATAGGAATGATTTTAAACTAGAAGGAAGTTTAGATATTAGGAGGAAATTTTTCACTCACAATATAGTGAGGCAATGGCAGGCTGTCCAGAGAAACTACGAATGCCCCCTTCCTGTGGAGGCGTTCAAGGCCAGGTTTGATGGGGCCCTGGACAGCCTGAGCTGGTGGGTGGCAACCCTGCCCATGGCTGGGAGTTGGAACTGGATGAGCTTTAAGGTCCTTTCCAACCCAAGCCATTCTATGATAAAAGCCAAAAACAAAATAATCTTTCTAGGATTAATTTCTGCAATTCTGCAATTATTGCAACTTGAAGGAATGAGCATGATCATCCTTTCCTAATTATGTACTTATATTTTGGTGAAAGGAACCAGATTCTACAGTGTGGGGCTAGAAATAAGTATTATTTTCCTAACAGTATATGAATATGTAGCAGAAAATACTAAGCTCTGTTCTGTCATTTTCTAATGTACTTTATTTAGTATATATGTACATATTCTAATGTACTTTCATCAGAAAGGAACATAGAATTCTTTTACTACACTTTCCTATTGAAGAGAAACGAGATAGGGAATATAGATAATTGTCAAGCAGGAGTTGCTTAACAACATGTCATCTATAGTATCAATTCATAAACCTGCTTGTGTGAATGACTACTTGATCACTACGAAGTTTTAGAAGATAAGCTGGAGCATAAAATGGTTTGTTTCTCCTTGTTTCTTTCTGTAAAGTTTTCAACAATGAGACAAAATTAATTTTTCCTCTCTCCAATTAAATGATGAGATAAATTATATTCTGTACTAATGACCTCTTCTAAAAAGAAACTTATTAAGAGTCTGATGAATGTTAAATTAACATTAATAATGCTTCCATCTGTGTGAGCTTTTAAGACAGGATTAATTCACTGGAAAGGATTCCTTACGCTGCAATTAATTAGTGCACAACTAATTGCTTTATAAGATATCAGCTTCGTACTTCAGAAGGGAAGAAGTGCACCACCATAAAATAAGAAATCCTCAGTTTAGTAAATGTTTTAGGCACAAAAATGATGCCAATGCTTAGCCTTCATCAACAAGCCTTTATGCTTTTGTCCGCTTTGCTGAAGATTAATGAAGGTTTAAGCAAGTGATGGTGGCTCGTCCTCACCATTATATTATTATTAATAATTTGACTTCAGAATAGTGGACTGGTAGTCAACCAAAGTACGTTTCTATCATTCTGTTGTTTTCAAATGTGTAGTACAAAAAGAACAAGACTTACCTGGTTATGTTGCTTGTAAGAATGCCCCACACCTCTTTATCCAACAGGAAATCAACTTATGTTACGTTGGTAGACCTTGGATGCTGTTTTATATCAGACTTAGGAGCACAAATCTATCTCTGGAGTTGCCGTCAATCTCAAAGGGCTCTAGTCTTCTCTTCACCAGCTTTCTTACAAACAGGAAATGTAGCTCAGGCTTTTACAACTTCACTAGCAAACTGAGTGTCTCCTTGATCATACGATTCTGAGAGGGAATAAAAAATCTATATGTGTGTTTGCATGTAATATCCACCCATGTTGCCACAGAAGAGTATGTATAGGATTATTTGTTCAATTCATATGATACAAGCATACTTTTGTAGAAACCACACTGTCAGGTGTCTTGTTTTGCTTTTATGTTGAATTTCACAAAAGTATTTGGGTGCCTGTTAAACTCAATTACAGGAATGTTTTCCATAGGAATGCTATCTGACTCTTTCTACCTTGAGGTTTCTAAACCAAGCCTGGAAAGTTTTTTGCTGAGAGAGCCTACAGTTTTGTAAAAAGTAAAAGATGCAGTGGCATGATGTAGAAATTATACCATTGACGGCTTTTCTCCCCACCGTTCTTTCAGGTCTATGAATCTGGGCCCATGATCAACAGCAAGTTGTGGATAGAGAGTAAATCATGAATGTTTGTTTTTAAATTTAACGAAACGTGCCTGTGTTTGGCTACAGAAGCCATTTTATTCTCAGAATTGCAGTTGCTTCTTCCAGAGGAAGCCAGCTTGTACAGAACTGTTTTAAGAGACTTTCTTTAAACTCTGAGAGTTTGTGTGGTTTTGGTTTTTGCTTTTTTTTTTTTTTAAGAGTAGTTGATCTTATTTCCAATTATGCATAACGTAGAAGTGAGAAGTGTTACTTAAGAAAAAAGGTGAATCACCTGTCTGTGCTTATCTTTTTAGAATACGTGTATTTAAACTGTCCTTAGTTAGTATAATCTAAGGAATAATGCAAAGCCATCCTCTTTGGGAAAGGCTGTTATAGGAGGAAATGTCCTTGGCTGTATATGTTTATTTGGGATACTATTACTTTTAGATGTTATTTTTCTATTAACTGGCTTAGATTAATGCTTAAGAAAGAATTTACTGGTTTAGCATTCTTTGCAGGTGCAGATTAGTCTTAATATGATATACTATTTCATTTGAGTCCAAAGGCAAGAACAGCTCTTAACTACTCAGAGCTTTATCAGAATGAAGCATGTTAATAATGAGAAATTATTCTAGAAATAATGAGCATTATTTTTGAGGTTGTAATTATCTTGATGAAAAGTTGAATGAAAAATAACATTTTAAACTGGTCATAGCTTTGGTGTCTCCTAGCTACTAAATTCAGACATCCTACTCAAATATGGGCAGCATCAAAATTAAATATAGATATTATCTCAGTATTAAATGAAAAAGCACATGTACATCACATTTCATTGAAAAATGGGATTTAGGATGAGAGCTCCTCTCAGTAAGTGATGCATGCTATCATCTGTAGTCTAAACTGAAGTTTTCAACATAGAAAAGATATGGTTCTGTGAAATGCTAATTGCAACTGATATGTTTGAAAGTAAAAGGTTTGTCATGCATTTAGGGAAGGAGAAGGACTCAACCAGCTGGATTTAACAATTCCATGTTGTAGGCTCAGTCGAACAGAAGAGTCCTGAAGCCACATGATGGGAATACGAACCTCAAAGTGAGTTCTCTAGTGAAGGAAAAGAAGGATCTTGAGTTGAGTGAGAAGATGGAAAATAGATAGTGGGGAAATACATATTGTGTTAATTGAGACAGCTACTTAGTTTCTCAGCCAAGAGCGTGAGAAGTAAATCTGAGATCTGCAGAGGATTCATAATGAATTGCTTGTTAGCCTGAACAAGAAGATTATAAGGAATAAATTCCTTTGGAGATAATTATGGACACAATGGATAGGTGAATAGTGAGAATGCGGCAGGGGATTTCTGTAGGCCTGGAGTAGCACATTAAAAAAAAATCTGTTCTCCAAGAGCAAATCATTGCTTCTGCAGCCAAAGATGCTGCTGAACAACAAAGTCTGTTGGATGAGGCATGAGTTTGATAAGCTCTTCTGAGCAGCCTGCAACACACCGCAAGTCCTCCTCAATAGCAAGAAACGTTTCACTGCAGGCTCTGAAATCTACAGTGAATATTTCTTCTTAACTCTCTTTCCTGTCTGTTATAGCTGCGCTAAGTTAAAAACCAGCAACCTCCTTAAAATGCAGTTATTCAGGACAGTAAAGGCAAGGACAAATTGTGCCTAATTTTAGAAAAGCATAACAAAGCAGTGCCGCGTGTACTGTGTACAAAGCTGCTTCCTCTGGTTTTGAAGTCCCTGAGCTAAGCTGCTGGGTGCATATTCTGGAGAGGTATATTTCACTGCTGAAATACCTATGTGGTCATTGGCAAACTTATGCTGCTGGTGTCTCCAGGATATGAATAGTGTCAAATGGACTTCTGATTCGGTTGGGAATGGTTCTTGTTACATAAGTTCTCCAAAAAGCTAAACAATACTATTAAATATCTGTGTGCATAGGCATGTATGAAGGAGTAAGTCTGTGCTCAGCTGGAGTCAGATTAACAGTACAGTTTGGCAGAGGACTTGGATGGTCATGTGAAGCTGACTGAGAGATCATTTGACAAAATAAAAAAAAGCTTATGAAGTGGTATTTTCTTGGCTGTTTTGGGGAAAGGAAGTAGAAGAATCCTAAAGCAGGTATGAAAGGCAACTTGGTGTTCAGAAGAGAGAAGATGGGTCTTAAATTGATTCTTATCTGAATCTAAGCTTGATATTAGCGATATTGATATTGATGTTAGGAATAAAACACACAAAAAATAGAGTAAGTAGTATGTTACAGATCTGTATTTTTTTCCTTGAAAATCTGCTATGCTGTCTACATAATGGAATAGTTAGTGGTTCTGGTAGTTCTTTTCTGTTAAGTACTCATTCTAGAAAATTGTAGCTTGCACTTACCATGAAGTTCCTAAAACTTGTATGATCTGCATCCGTGGCACATATGGAACTGAAAGGTTTCTGCACATTTCTGAGGAGGAAGATAAGTAGCAGCAGCTAACCATGTGGTAGCCATCTATGATGGCTGCTCTGAAAGCACTGACTCCTTTGTTACTATCTCGGCCCACAAAATCAAAGACAGGTATTGGAGGTGTGGCAGTAGATATTAAACTTTCCCACGAATATTCCCTTAAATGTTGTTGCTGTGTGACAGATGGCAGCAGAGGGGCAGTCTGACAGAATGGCATCTGACGTGGGAGTGCATATGAAGCAAAGGTGTGTCACTGAATTCTTCCATGTGGTAAAAACAGCACCCATTGACATTCATCAGTGCTCTTCTGAATGTTTCTGGAGACCAAACAATGAATGTGATAACAGTGAGGCAGTGGGTGGTGTGTTTCAGCAGAGACAACAGCGATGTGAAAGACAAGACATATTCTAGACAGCCATGCGCAGCTGTCACACCACAAAATGAAGCGCATCATCTATCAGCTCATCCACACAAATCAGCCAGTGGTGACTGTTGAAAAACATGTTTTCATAGCTGACAATTTGCTCTATCAAGTAGTGTTATTGTGCTTTTTGTACCCATTGTAGTTTCCATTGAAATAAATAGAACTTTCAGAGTGACCTTCATATATCCACTTTCTATGATGAGCTATCTGGCCACTGCTGCAGGGCATGGGGCTCAGACAGTGGCTGATTAAGGAAAAATTGCTAAGACCCAGAGGAGGTCAGCTGTCTTGCAGAAGCAAGGCTATTACTGGAACTTAAATGTTTAAAGTGTTTTTCTGGTTCTGGATGTCCTCTAGCAGGATGGAACTTTTACTGTGGCTGCAGTCCATAACAGCTTCCAGCACTCTGACAAGCCTGGAATTTTCTTTGTGTGACTGAAAATCTCTAGGGAAAAGTGTTTTCAGTCTTATTGACCTGAAAGTCCTCTAAGAGTTTGCACTTCCCTTTTCCTTTTTGTCATGAAATCAAAAGGCCCTCCTTATTTTCAAGTGAGAAAGTCTTTGCTATCCCCAATTCTGGGGACCGCCTGATCCGTTTCATAGAAAATGAGCACTAAAACAGAATATAACATTTTTCAAATGTAGTTGGAGAGGCAGTTGGCACAGGGTTCCAATACATTTGACTTCATATATTTACATCTCTTATTTACTTGTGAACTCGTTTAGTTCAGTACATTTTTGTGATACATTCATGCTGTCAGCAAGTGGTACTTTTTGAAGGCCTCAGAATGCACATTTATTCTAACTTGCTGAAAGTGAAATAAAGTGCACAACTGACAGTAGCTGCAGGCCTCACACGCTTACTTTCTCTACCACTACTCAAATTACAGGCTTTCTTTTAAAAACATGCTGTGGTTTAACCCAGCAGGTAGCTCAGCACCACACAGTTGTTAGCTCACCCCCTCCCAGTGGCATGAACTCATGGGTTGAGATACAAACTGTTTCATAAGACAGAAAAAGTAGAGGAAAAAATATAATAGTGATAATGCATACATATATGTGTTTATGCCATATATGTATATATACCCAATGTGTATACATACAAAACAGGTGGTGTGCTAGTGATTGCTCACCATCAACTGACTGATGCTCAGCCATTCCCAAATAGCAGCTATTTACCTCTTCAGCTCCCTGCTGTTTTTCAAGTTTCTCCACATGATGTCATGTAGTATGAAATATCCTTTTAGCCAGTTTAGGCCAGCTCTCCTAGTTCTGTCCCCTCCCAGCTCCCTGTGCCCCCCAGAGGGACTGGAAAGTCCTTGGCTCTGGTCAACAACAACTAAAACATCAGTGTGTTATCAACAGTGTTTTTCTCCTATGGCCAAAACATAGCATCATACCAGACGCTCTGAAGGGAAAAAACAAAAGCTTTGTCCTAAGATAAAGTTGGAACAAAATGATGTCATTTTTTTGGTGGTAAGTGGTGTCGTGGAAAACCCCTCTGCAAAGGGTGAAAGATACTGGTTGTAGTAAAAGTCTTGAAAAATGTAGATAAAGGTCATTTACATCTTGTAGGCTTCTGTTTGAAGTGGGGCTGCCATAAATCATCTCTGATTTTCTAGGGAAAGCAAATAACCATAGCAGAAA